ATGCTGCACTATCAGGCTGAATGTTTACATTTCCATGTGCGTGCACCTCTAACAACTGTATGGAATCTTGCCCCTCTGATTCTCAGAGGGAAACGATCCACTTGTCATCCCACTCAGACAGGGAAGGTCCACAAGTTAACTTTTACATCTGGCCACACGTTGCCTTTTGCAGATTCCGCCACTTCCACCATTTCCCTTACACTGACATCCAAAAGGACTGATTGGTACCTGGTTAAACCTCAGCACTCCTGTGCTACGATAGTCTCTAATTCAAGCCATTACCTTTCCTCCCCACAGATTTTCCATCCTAGGCACTGGTAACCTTTCCAGTTCCTTATTCTTGCTGAAGGTACAGCCTCATGCACAGATCACTCAGGAGCTGATTGAGCTCACTGGGTCTTGCTCCTTCAAGGACCCAGGACAAGGGGGTGGGAATACGTCAGGACCGAATATCCAGGGGGTCTAGGTAACTGTTGTGCTCAGGTCAGGGGGCTGGGGCATTGCCAGTGTTCTGGGCTAGAAGGACCACCAGACCATCAATCCCTGGCTTTAGTTCCTCACCATGCTATTAAACATGGAAGCCAGCTACAGATAAGAAATAGGTGAACGTAAACAATGCATTAGCTCAATGAAAACCATCTGCAGTTTGATTTAAGGACTTAGGAAATGCAGCGAGGTGGAGGGGCTACCTTGCTCGGTTGTATATGATAGGCTCGTGCTCATCCGGCACTGTTTGAAGCATGTCAAGATCCAAAAATAGCTTCTTCATGAGTTGCAAGAAGTTCTGCTCTGCAGCCCTTTCCACCACAGCGCTGAGGAGGGTCCAGGCATGTGTCGAGTACAAGAACTGACTTCCTGGAATACACGAGAGGAAAGTGGCTTTATAATTTCTCCCAAGTTACAACTGAAAGCAACATTAGCTTCTGGAGACACTCCCAGACCTGATGAATGTGACAATCACGCAGCTTTCTCTGTGAAAATACACTGAGGTCATGTTTTGAGTTAGAATAGAATCCCTGCAATGTGGAAGCAGGCCATTTAGCCCATCAAGCCCACATTGACCCTCCAAAGAGCATCCCACCCAGACCCACCCTATCCCTGTAATTCCCATGGCTAATCCACCTAGCCTGCACATCCCTGGACACTATGGGCAATTTAGCATGGCCAATCCATCTAACCTGCACATCTTTAGACTGTGAGAGGAAACCGGAGCACCCAGAGGAAACCCAAGCAGACACAAGGAGAATGAGCAAATTCCACACAGACAATCGCCTGAGGTCCAAGTCGTTGATATTTTCCATTCAACCTGTTCAAAGATGTTATTACACACCTCTGGAGGGCTGTTTAACTCATCAAAATTATTAAATGCAAATCCTTTACCCAGATTCCCAAATATATTTAACAGTTGAGCAAGGAAATCAATGTAATAACAAACCCAGTAAACCGGCAGCATCAGTGGAGAGGGAACCAGTGTCAAAGTTGTGCCTTGTGAAGAAGACTCAAAACATTTGCTCAATTTTCTGTAATCACAAACCCTGAGTTTCTCTGGTGTAAAAGTCCTCATATCTTTGTTTTTCAGACTATAAACTCAAATGAGACTTGGACTGCAACTAGTGAAGAATCAAGCGTGTTTTGTAAATTGAAAATCAAGCTTTGTATATTGTTGAGCTGTGCGAGACAATGCTGCTTTTTGAAGCAGTAAGAGGGAGAATTCGAGACTGAGTGACACCAAGGGTCTTTTGAGTTAAGGAAATACTGCCTGGAAACAGCCCTCTGATTGGTTGAACTGCAAAATGTTTAAAAGCTGCCATTGCAGCTGGAAAGTAAAAACTTGCACAGCCTGTAGCTGGAAAACATCTATCTCTCCCACTCTTGCTCTCTGTGTGGGGAGACACAGAAAACTTAAAAGACTTCTAAAATAAGAAAATGCTCATGTCCACCTGATCAACCCTTGAATCAAAGAACTCTATCAGACAGCATTGGGTCATTGTTGCTAAAATCAAAATGATTGAGAGAAAATAACTCTCTTCCTCATAGCCTGGTCTTTTGATCTTTGGAATTTTGTTTACTCGTCTACATTATTTTTTCCACCACAGTTTCTATCTCAAACAATCAGTGTTTTGGCTGTCTTAGTCATGAATGAAAGTGTGTATTTGGAGGTTCTGAAAAGGTATAGTTTAAGTTGTATAGCTGTAGATTAGATATCCTTTATTTTCTCTACTCTTGTTAAAGTTAAGTGTGTTACAATAAGTATTACCAATAAAACTTCATTTGAATCACTTTTTTTATTCGCTCGTGGGGCAAGGGCATCACCGGTTGACCAGCATTTATTGCCCCATCCTAGCTGCCCTTGAGAGAGTGGTGGTGAGCTATCATTTTTAACAGCTGCAGTCGAAGTGCTCTACGTAAACCTACAATGCTATTAGGAAGGGAATTCCAGGATTCTTACCCAGCGACAGTGAAGGAACGACGATATATTTCCAAATCAGGATGGTGAGTGGCTTGGAGGGGAACTAGCAACTGGTGGTGTTCCCATGTATCTGCTGCCCTTGTCCTTCGAGATGCAAGTGGTTATAGGTTTGGAAAGAGCCAAGGATCTTTGGTGAATTTCTGCAATGCACCTTGTAGATAGTACACACCGCTGCTACTGAGCATCAGCAGTGGAAGGAATGGATGCTTGTGGATGTAGTGCCAATCAAGCATGCAGTTTTATTCCTGGATTGTGTCAAGCTTCCTGAGTGTCGTTGGAGCTGCACCCATCCAGGCAAGTAGGAAGTATTCCATCACACTCCTGACTTGTGCCTTGTAGATGGTGGACAGGCTTTGGGGAGTCAGAAGGTCAGTTACTCACTGCAATATTCCTAGCTTCTGACCTACTCGTTTAGCCACTGAATTTATAAGGTGAATCCAGTTAAGTTTCTGGTCAATGGCAACCCCCAGGATGTTAGTAGTGGAGAATTCAGTGATGGTTAACACCATTGAGTGTCAAGGGCAGTGGTTAGATTGTCTCTTGTTGAAGATAGTCATTGCCTGACATTTGTGTGATGTGAATGTTACTTGCCACTTGTCAGCCCAAGCCTGGACATTGTCCAGATCTTGTTACATTTGAACATGGACTTGTTCAGTATCTGAGGAGACACAAATGGTGTTGAACATTGTGCAATCTTGGGGGAAAAGCCCCACTTCTGACCCTATGATGGAGGGAAGGTCATTGATGTAGCAACTGAAGATGATTGAACCTAGGTCTTTACCCCCAGGAACTCTTGCAGAGATGTTCTGGAGTTGAGATGACTGACTTCTAACCACTGCAACCATCTTCCTATGTGCCAGGGATGATTCCAAACAGGGCAGAGTTTGCCTCCGATACTCATTGATTGTTGTTTTGCTAGAGCTCCTTGATATCACACTTAGTCCAATGTGGCTGTGACTCCCTGAATAGCAGACACTCAGGCAAACTGGTCATCTGGGTAGTCTCACTGGAACTTTACATATTTTGGGACGGTTTGTGAAACAGGGGGGCACAATTATCAGGGCACTGTTACCTGTTAAGTCACGGCACCACAGTACTTTGCTTTGCCATTACAACAACAATTTATATTGATGTAGCATTGTCAATGTAGCAAAGGAGCTGCACAGGAAGTTAAACAAACAAAACCTGACACTGAGTTGAATAAGGCACTAATAGCTCTGTCCAAAACCTTGGTCAAAGAGGTAGGTTTTAAGAAGTACCTTAAATGGGGGAGCGGGGGGGAAACGAGAGGTGGAGAGGAAGAGAAGCAGGGAGAGGGTGTTCCAGTTCATAGATAGCTGAAGGCACAGCCAGTAATGCTGTAGCGATTAAAATCAGGGATGCTCAAGAGGCCTGAAATGGTGAGCCATAAATATATCTTGGAGGAATGTGGGGCTGCAGGAGATTGCAGAGACTTTACTCTGTTCACAGCAAGGGGGGCATCACTGGCTAATCCAGCGTTTGTTGCTGACCCCTGACCGACCATGAGAGGGTGCTGGTGAGCCACCTTCTCAGCTCGCTGCAGGCCCAACGGTATAAGCACATCCACAGTGCTACTGGGGAGGAGGTCCCACAATTCCGACACATTCCCTCAATTTAGCAAAAGGTTCCAGCAGACCAGAGAGTAGCAAACATAACCCCTTCATTCAAAAAGGGAGGTGGCAGAAAACACAAAACTATAGGCCAGTTAGCTTGATGTCTGTGGACGAGGAGGGTCAGAGAGGAATCATGACTGCACAATTAGAAAAACTCGGGCTAGCTGGGAAAAATCAGCCCCGTTTCGTCAAAGGGATATCATGTTTAATCCATTTATAGGCATTCTTTGAAGAGTAACACGTGCTGTGGATAAAGGGGAGTGTGTAGACAAACTGTATTTGGATTTCTAGAAGGTATTTGATAAAGTGCCACATCAAAGGTTATTGTGGAAAATGAAAACTCATGGTTTACAGGGTAAGATCAGCATGGGTTGAAGATTTGCTGCTGGCAGAAAACAGTAAGTAAGCATAAATGGGCCATGTCTCTATTGACATTTGGGGCAGCGCAGTGGCTCAGTGGTTAGCACTGCTGCCTCACAGCACTAGGGACCCAGGTTCGATTCCAACCTCGGGTGACTGTCTGTGTAGAGTTTGCACATTCTCCCTGTGTCTGCGTGGGCTTCCTCCAGGTGCTCCGGTTTCCTTCCACAGTCCAAAGACGTGCAGGTTAGGTGGATTGGCCATGCTAAATTCCCCATAGTGTCCAGGGATGTGCAGGCTACGTGTGTTAGCCATGGGAAATGCAGGGTTACAGGAATAGGGTGGGTCTGGGTGGGATGCTCTTCAGAGGGTCAGTGTGGACTCAATGATTCCATGACAAGTGGAGATCTGCAGAGGTCTGTGTTTACGCCTCAACGTTTTACAATTTACATTAAGTGAGGGGAGTGAAGGCATGGTAGATTCACAGACCACACCAAAAATGGAAGGAAAATGTGTAGAAGTTGCAGAGATATACAGATAGGTTGTTTGAGTGGCTAAAAAGCTGTCAGATGGAGTACAACATGAGGAAATGTGAAATTGTTCACTCTGTCTGAAAGAACAACATTAGTTAAATGGAGAAGAACCGCAGAATTCTGAGGTACAGCGAGAATCATCAAGGAAGCCCTACAGTATGGAAACAGGCCCTTCAGCCCAACAAGTCCACACCAACCCTCAGAGCATCCCAACCTACCCTTTCCCTGTAACCTACGTAATCTGCAGATCCCTGGATGGGATGGGCAATTTAGCATGGCCAATCCATCCTAGCCTGTACATCTTTGGACTGTGGGAGGAAACCAGAGCACCTGGAGGAAACCCACACAGACACAGGGAAAATGTGCAAACTCCACACAGACAGTCACTTGAAGGTGGAATCGAACCTGGCGCTATGAGACACCAGTGCTAACCACAGTGCCACCAAGCCTGGCGTTCTGGTGGAAGACTCTCAAAAGCCTAGCATTCAGGTACTGCACATAATCAAGGTGGCTAAAGTAATGCTATCTTTTATTGTATGAGGAATTGCACCTAAAAGTAAGGACGTTATGCTTCAGTTATACAGGGCATTTGATGAGACCATATCTTGAATACTATGTACAGTTTTGATCTCTTATTTAAGGAAGAATGTAAATGTATTGGAGGTGGTTCACAGTAGGTTTACTACATTGATATCTGGAATGAGAAGTTGTCTTATGAGAGGAGAGAGATTTAAAAAAGACATGAGGGGCAACGTTTTTACACAGAGTGGTTCGTGTGTGGAATGAACTGCCAGAGGAAGTGATGGATGTGAGTACAGTTACCATGTTTAAAAGACATTTAGATAATTACATGAATAAGAAATAGTGGAGGGATATGGGCCAAGTGCAGGCAGGTGGGACTAGTTTAGTTTGGGAACGTGGTGAGCATGGGCTAGATGGACCGAAGAATCTGTTTCCGTGCTGTATGACCCTATGGAATGTTGGACAGGCTGCATTTGTTTCCACTGGAGTTAGAAGATCAAGGGGTGACATAATTGAAATGTACATGATCCTGAATGGTTTGGACAAAGTGAACGTTGAAAGGATGTGTGTCAGTCCAGAACTAGGGGCACCGTTTAAAAATTAAGGTTGGCCGTTTTCGGACATAGATGAGGAGAATTTGTTTCTTTCAAAGGGCTGTGCAATTCTGGAACTCTCTGTCTCAGAAGATGGTGAAGATGAGATCACTGAATATTTTTAAGACAGAGGTGGATAGACTCTGGTTAGGGCAGGGGAATCGAGGATTAAATGGCAGAGCAGATTTGAGGGGCCAAATGGTCTACTTCTGTATTTGGTATTTTTGAGGTCTTCATAATTCCTTAATCAGTGTCCAACCCTGCAATCCCACCCCACTGTTTACTACAGTCAGCATTTTAAACATGATATTATCATACATATTCTTGTCAACACCACCTTAATTCAAGCCTAGCATTCTGTTCCATAGAGCAGCTGTAATTTTTCTTTTACCTGGTTTGAACATCAAGGGATCATTCTCGAAGAGCTCCAGTGATTTAAAAACATTCTCAAACTTCTCCTTGATAAAGAATTCGTCGTACTCAGAATCTTTCTTAATTTGGATGGTTTTGTTGTTTTTCCCTGAGTTTTCAGCTTTATCACTCTCTGATTTTGGCTGTTTGTCCTGTTGCGTGTGGTCACCCTCCTTTCCCAGTTCTGAAGCCTCCTTCTGTTTCTCTGTGTTGCTTTCTTCTTTAGTGCCTTGATCAGAAGCTTTGGACTTCACCTCCTCTTTAATAAGCCTCTTGTCCTTTTCTTTTTGCTTTTGTACCTTCTTAACATCCTTCTCATAGTGCCGAATGCCACTCAGATGAGACAGTAACATTCTGGTAGTTATCATCACCTATCGCAAGACACAGAATAGTGTTTTTCAGATTTTTAAACTATACATAAATATTAACATCTTACACCCTAATGCAGAGATAGCAAGAACTGCCAATGCTGGAGTCTGAGATAACACTGATGCTGCCTGGCCTGCTGTGTTCCTCCAGCTCCACACTGTGTTATTACATCCTAGTGCACCTGCTGCTATTGTGTTTCTGAATCCACACATTCTGTAAGTTTCAATGGCCACACTTACAATGAAAATTACCTATGTAACCCTGTCTCACTTGCATCTTAATTTTGTGTCTCCTGGCTCTTCAGCCTGTGCTCCTATGTTCCAACCAAACTGTCATCAGACTAGCTATTAAAGAGCAAATAATATTGAAATTACAAGAGAAACAGGGGTTACAAAGGAATAAATGAATTAGGAACAGGAGAAGGCTTCTTGTGACTGCTTCACTATTCAAGAAGATCATGGCTGATCTGATTATTCCACATTCCTGCTACCCTGAGAACGGTAATCTACCTACCTCTGCCTTAAAATTATTCAAAGCCTTTTGAGGAAGACAGTTCCAAAGACTCTCATCCCTCTGCGGGCAAAAGCTTTCCCTCAGCTCTCTTAAATTTGTGACCTTTAGTTATTAGGCAGCGACCTTGGTTCTAGAACTGAAGTGCTTCTAGGTCTGGGTTTTCTGAAGCATCCCTCTTTGTTGTGGTAATAATACCATCCTTAATGAACAAGGCCACCTCTCCACCATTTCTGAGCTTCCTAAATGTCTTGTACCCTTCAATATTCAGGTCCCAATTTAACTCATCCTGCAGTCATATCTCTGTTATTTGGCTGTTATTTCTATTTATCCTTTTTATGACTTTTGTAACTCCTAACTTTATCTGTTGATTTACTTAGAAATGAACTCACTATGCCTTCCTGTTGCAATCATTTCCCATATTATGACCTTTCTCTCTTGCCTTGTCTCTACTCTTTGGTCTACCTACAGTTTCCCAAATTGGACTCCTTGACCTGCTATTTTGGAGAAAGTCCTCTCCACTTCCCCACGTAAGGTGTTTGTTACAAGGCTCCCAGTATGGCTGAGGCATAGACTGTCCACAATTCTACAGCTTCCACTTTCACCTGAATTGGTACCTGTTCCCTAGCAGAACCTGCTTCTCCCATACCAGTCATGCATTTGTTTCTCTGATCTTATTAACCCTACACCAATTCCCTCATGGCTCAGGTAATAATCCAGATTATCTTCTTTGAAGTTCTGCTTCTTAATTTGGTGTCTGGCTCCTTGGATTGACTGTACCAGAACCACTTGCCCTGCATGTATTGTGGGTACTTACAGGAACTACAAGGACTGGACCTTCCTTGTCTCACTGCAAGTTCCTCTCCAGCTCTGAGTCGATGTACCAAACCCTGGCACCAGGAGGGCAACACAGCCTTCCGGACTCTCACTCTTTGCTGCACAGATTGGATTACATTTGCACATGGTGATCTAATTATTGCTGTTCTTGAACACCACTTCACCATGAGACTACACGTGACATTGCCTCTTCTAACGCAGTCATACAGGACACTAATAAATATCAGTTCTGGCTCAGTTGACAGCACTCTCACCTGAGTCAGAGAATGTGGCTTCAAGTTCCACACCAAATGCTTGAGCACAAAATTGAGATTGATACTTCAGCGGTAAGGTAGTGCTGCATGGTCAGAGGTACTGTCTTTCAGAGGAGATGTTAATTAAGGCCATGAGTGATGTCAAAGGTCACTATTTAGAAGAAAAGGTAAATATCGATCCCTTCATGAACTTAACTGAAGTAGAGATTATCTGTTCATTATCTTGTTTCTATTTGTGGGAGCTTACTGTGTAAAAATTGGTTGTCAATGTTTCCTACATTACAAAAGAATCACTTTGGGATGTCCCATTTGTGCAAATGGTGCTACAGAAATGCATGCCTACTGTAGATGAGCCCCATTATGTCATAAAATTATAAGAAATAGAAACAGAGGAAGTCCTCTGCAAGGAGGCTTCAAGGTGATTTAGACAAGTTGACTGAGTGGGCAAACATGTGGCAGATGCAGTACAGTGTGGCTAAATGTGAAGTTATAAACCTTTGTTAGGAAGTCCCTGTTGGTCCTGCGTTCCACCATGACATCCAGGAATGGGAGCTGTTTGTTCTTTTCCTCTTCCCTAGTGAATCTGATCCCGGTGAGAGTGTTTATTGGTTCATGTGTGTCCTCTAATTTGGTCCATTTAATAATTACAAAGGTGTCGTCCACATATCGTACTCATAGTTTCGGTTGGATTAGCAGAAGGGCCAAGCTTTCAAGTCTCTGCATCACCGTTTCAGCTATGAACAGATCAACGGGACACCCATGGATCACCTATTTCCAGACTAATAGCTGAAATGGTGATGCAGAGACTTGAAAGCGTGCCCTTCCCCTAATCCAACCGAAACTATGGATACGCTACATGGATGACACCTTCGTAACAAAACAAAGGGACGAGTATTATATAAATGGTGATATATTGGGAAGCGTCTAAGGTTTTTGAGTAGATTTGTAGCTCGGGTTGTGGATGTTGTGGTTGGTTGGCTCGCTGAGCTGGTTCAATGTTCCGCAGATATTTCATTACCCTGCTGGGTAACATCATCAGTGCAGCCTCCGATGAAGCGCCGTTGTGTTTTCCCGCCTGTTATTTAAACTCTGGAGTCCGTTGAGCTGGGTTACCTCACTTCTGGTTTTCTCTCGCAATGGAGTGTATATCGGGTCTAGCTCAATGTGTTTGTTGAGTGTGGAGAGCCAGGCCTCTAGGAATTCCCGTGCTTGTCTCTGTTTGGCCTATCCCAGGATCCTATGTTGTTCCCAATCAAACTGGTGGTTTTCCTTATCCATGTGGATGGAGGTGAGTGAGTATTGGTCGTGTCTTTTTGTTGCTAGTTGATGTTGGTGTATCTTGTGGCTGATTTTCTTCCTGCTTGTCCAATGTAATGTTTCTTGCAGCCTTTGCAGGGAATCTTGTATATGACATTGGTCCTGTCCACAGTGGGTAAGGGGTCTTTGGTTTGGGTTATCAGTTGGCGTAGGGTTCATGTGGGTTTGTGTGCTACTCTGATGCCCAGTGTTCATAGGAGTCTTGTGGTCAGTTCAGATGTGTTCCTGATGTAAGGTAGCGTGATGTGTGTCGAGGCGTGTAGTATCTTCCTGGTGTCGATCGTGAGGTAATCCAGCTCAATGGACACCAGAGTTTAAATAACAAGCGGGAAAACACAATAGTGCCTCATCGGAGGCTGCACTGATGATGTTACCCAGCAGGGTAATGAAACTTCTGCGGAACATCGAACTAGCTCGGCGAGCCAACCAACCACAACATTGGGAAGTGTGGATGTGCAAAGAGATATGTACACCTTGTACACTAGTCAATGAAAGTAGACATGCAGGTGCAGTAAGCAATTAGGAAGGCAAGTGCTATATTGGCCTTCATTGCAAGAGGATAAGAGTTCAGAAACAGGGATGGCTTACTGCTGTTATATAGGCCTTGGTAAGACTACATCTGGAGTGTTGTGTGCAGTTTTGGTCTCCCTAAGAAGAAACATGCTTGCCATAGAGGGAGCGCAAAGTGCAAGTTCACTAGATTGATACCTGGGATGGTAGGTCTGTCCTGTGGGAGAGATTGGTTCGACTTGGGCCTAGAATTTAAAAGGATGGGAGGGGACCTGATCGAAGTGTATAACATTATATCAGGGCTGGACAGAGTAGATGCAGGGAGGATGCTTCGTCTGGTTAGGGAGTCCAGAACTGGGGGAGAGTGTCTCAGTATTTGGGGTAGACCATGTAGGACTGAGATGAGGAAAAATTTCTTCACTCAAAGGGTGGCAAACTCTTGGAATTCTCTACCACAAGAAGAGGCCAAGTCACTGAATATATTCAGAGACTGATACACTTTTAGGTACGAGGAGAAAGCAGGAATATGGTATTGAGACAGAAGATCAGCCATGATCATAATGAACAGTAGAGCAGGCTCGAAGAGCCAAATGGCCTACTCCTGCTCCTACTTTCTATGTTTCTATCCTTAACATGGTACAGTGTCCCAAGGTGCTTCATGTTGACGATGGTGTGACTTTAAGAAGTTATTTTATCCTGGCATTTTTTTTGAAGAGAGATTGTAAGGCAGAGGCGCTGAGCAGTCTACCAGAACCACTACAATAAACAGCTTGGGAGGCTATGTTTTTATTTTAAACAGCCTGAATGAATGTGGCGAGCTCTCACTGATCAGGACATCTGCATTGTTACATTCGGCTTTAAGCAGAAGCTGTTAGGGTCTCAACAGAGTTGGAAGCTTCAGTGAATGTCTCCTGGCCTCTACTCTCTGAATTTTCTCTTGATGCTTTTTCCTCCTAGATTGGAGAAATGCATGTGAGAATTTTTGCCAAGGGGTGTGTTTATGTAATGTCACTATATTGGAACAGCTAGTACAGTCATAGAGCTATACAGCATGGTCCAACTCGTCCATGTCTACCAGGTATCCTAAATTAATCTAGTCCCATTTGCCAGAATTTGGCCCATATCCCTCTAAACCCTTCTGATTCATGTACCCATCCAGCCTTTCAAATGTTGTAATTTTACCAGCCTCCACCACTTCCTCTGGCAGCTTGTTCCATAAATGCACCACCCTCTGCATGAAAAAGTTGCCCCTTAGATCCCTTTTAAATCTTTCCCCTCTCACCTTAAACCTGTGCCCTCTAGTTTTGAACTCTCCTACCCTATCTATGTCTTTTATAAACCTCTATAAGGTCACTCCTCAGCCTCCGATGCTCCAAGGAAAATAGCCCCAGCCTATTCAGCCTCGTCCTTTAGCTCAAACCCTCCAACCCTGGCAACATCCTTGTAAATCTTTTCTAAACTCTTTCAAGTTTCACAACATCCTTCCTATAGCAGGAAGACCAAAACTGAATGCAGTATTCCAAAAGTGGCCTAACCAATATCCTGTACAGCCGCAACAAGACCTCCCAGCTCTG